TTTTTTTTTTTTTTTTTTTTGACTCTCTCAGGCCAAGCGTCAGCAGCGCAAACTGAATTTTCTCATTACCCAGACGGAGCTGTATGCTCATTTTATGAGTGGTAAAGCTAGCGTGGGGGCTCCAGGTGCAGATGCAGCACAGGAGGAAATTCTAAGAAAACTTGAAGACACTGCAGCCCAGAGACAGATAGACATTGGAGGAGGAGTAATGGTCAACATGGGACAAGAGGACTATGGTATGAACGACTCAATCGAGTTTAATGTATTACAGAAGAAATTAGTAGTCATCGTTGATGGCTGAAATTTATACATATATTGACTCCCTTCATCAACTATAACAGTGTGAAATTAAATGGGACGAAACTCATTTCTGTTTGTTTCCTGTCTAATCTTCTACTTGTAGATTCGATTTTTTTTCTTCCTCTACAATGGTAAAACAAAAGTACACTCTCCATCTATTCACAAGCATGATAAAAATGATCTAGTCCTCAGTAGGTCTTAAAATTAACCTCAAATGAACCGAAGCACATGATGTGTTACACTGTGTCATTATGTATTTAACAAAACCTAAGTCAAAATGCAAAAGCGTTGTGTGGAAAAGTAAGAACACCCTTGATTCAGGATCTTGTAGAACCGCCCTTCGTAGCAATAACTTAGTGAAGCAATGAGTGACTTCATCAGTCTCTCATGTCACTGTGGAATGATTTTGGTCCAGTCTTCTTTATGGATCATTTAGATTTGTAGGTATTCTATCACAGCTGGGATAGAATACCTACAAATCCCAGCTGATGACAGCTGGGATAGGCTCCAGCGCCCCCCGCGACCCTGAAAAGGATAAGCGGAAGCGAATGGATGGATGGTATTCTATCACAGCATTTGGGTCAGGGTTAGGCCTGGTCTTTGACTCGGCTATTGCAACACCGTGATTCTTTTCTTTTTTAGTCATTCTGTCATAAATTTGTGGCTGTGCTTGTGATCAGTGTCATGTTACGTGACTCAGTTTGGGCCAGGTTTTAGCTGTTGGACAGATTTGACTCTAGAATACTTTGGCATACAGCTTGCAGTCATTGAGTCATGGTTGACTCAATGACTGCAAGGTGCCCAGGTCCTGTCACTGTAGAGCAAGCCCAAATCATCACCGTTGCTCGAGTCTTTTTCTAATTGTACTGTCACAAATGTTAACATTTAGCATACTAACTGAGGCCTGCAGAGCCTGAGATATAGGTCTTGGGTCTGGCTTTGGGGTGAATTAACACATTAAGTTAACACACACATGAATGCTCCAGGCCAGCAAACTCCCAAAATGTCTGCTGTTGAACACATGTGCTGATGATCAGGTAAACAAGTGCATTTGCTTAGCAGCAGCTGACTGCTGCTTCTCCTGCTAATTCATGGGGAAGCAGTAAGTATGTACTTTTTTTTTTTTACTCAATTCGTCTGCATTTTGCTTTTTCAGTAAATAGATAACGACAGTGTAACATGTCCTGTTTTGTACATTTGTAAGATTTTAAGGCAAAAACGTTAAAATTTAATGAGTGTGTACTTTCTTTTTATCATGATTGTTGCTATTATACCGTTTACTAATGATAATAATTTGCAGTTCATTTGATTAAGTATAAAGAATTGTGGTAATACATTAGTAAGAATTTCAGTTTAGACTAGCTGTGATTTGACTATATACTCTGTCAGAAGAAATATTACATTTAAATGGTTTGCAATGCATTTATGCACAAGATGATTGTATGTGATTGCAGATAGCGAATACTACAAATCCCAGGCCTTGAGGAATGCCCAAGAGGCCTACCAGATTCATCAGGAGAGAGTGAGTAATTCACGCACATCCTTTATTAGATGCCCTAATTCACACAGCGCAACTGGCGGTAATGTCCAAATCTCCTCCTTTAGACGCGAATGTTCGATGAAGAGGCTAAAGACAGTCGCAGTGCGTCCCTGCATGCAGCTGGCAGCTTGTCCACAGGAGCCGGCTCTGGGTTTGGAGAAAGCTACAGCCTTTCAAACCCATCCATCCGCGCAGATGAAGACATTCCTCAACCCACCATCTTCAACGGAAAACTCAAGGGCTACCAACTCAAAGGCATGAACTGGCTGGCTAACCTTTATGAACAGGTACACGTGTCTTATTTTATTTTTTTTTATTGTTTTTTCTGACTTATGCTGCGCTTTTCTGAAACTCTCAGTATTCCTTTAGTTTGTTTTCATTACTATGAATTGGGCAGTTTTTAATGGCCAACAGTATAAAAGAAATCTTTATTAGTGTTTTGGTTAAGAAAATTTATGAATCTCTAGTGTAACATCACTAACATGATTCAGTGTTCGTTAGCATTGTTTTTGGTCAACATGTGTACAGTTTTAGGATGTTTTCTAATATTTTTTTTTCCTCCCCACTGAGTGATTTAATTCTTCTTCCCTTTTCTCTTTTGCTCTTCATTTCCACAGGGAATCAATGGAATCTTGGCAGATGAAATGGGACTGGGAAAGACAGTTCAGAGTATCGCTTTGTTGGCACACTTAGCAGAGGTGAGAGAGAGGACGGGGGGCCAAAAGGTTTCATTCACCACACTCTTCCAAAACACTTTGCGGAATATTCAGTTGACTCCACCATTGTTTTCGACTTGTGATAAAACATCTAAAAGGCAGCCTATTTGCACCTGCATCCTTTAAATGGTCCCCAGTTTCTGGCTTTTTGCAGGTGCTGGAACATTTCAATGAATTAGTCATATGACTTCACTCCTCTGAAGAGCTGATTTGCCAGCTCTTTACATTTTTTAGTCTCACAAGCCCAAAGGCCAAAAAAAAAAAGAAAAAAAAAGGTGGAAATGCGAGCTTTTCAGTCAACTGTCGTTGGCAGGAAGGTGCATGCTGTGGGCTTCACAGGCCCTCCAGGACTTCCTGTTTTCTGGGTGCTGCTCACACAAGCACAGCAGACCACCTGTTGCGGTGGTTGACATTATATTTGCTTTTCTGTTCCTGCAACAGAGAGATAACATCTGGGGTCCATTCCTGATCATCTCTCCAGCGTCTACACTCAACAACTGGCATCAGGAGTTCACCCGCTTTGTGCCAAAATTCAAGGTGAGAACCCATCGTGGCTAAGCGAGCACACACACACTGAAACATCTGCAGAAGCAGGTCCAAAGGAACTGCTGATTCGTCATTTCTGTTGTTCTTCCGCCAATGCATTTCTCTCTCCGCTTCTTAATGCAGTGGTTTGTTAGTTTTGACATTCTGAGAGCAAGCGCAGGTTACCAGATGAAATGTTATCTGGAGCTGTCCATTAGGGGGCAGTATTGTAGCACTGTTCGCATTGACACATAACTACATAGCTGTTTTTATTTTTGTTGAGTGATACATCTTAAAAAAATCATTTTGCATGCCATAACTGGCTCTTGAAAGACTGTGCGTAGCCAAAATATTATCAAATGCATCAATATGTCAGCTATGCTTGAACACACACACACACACACACACACACACAGTCAGTGATAAACATGACTCTTTGTTGTGTACGACATTCAGCTTTGCCCATTTTCTCAGCCAGTTTGGAAATAAATCAATTGCAGTTTGTTTTGCTAATGAGGTGTGAAAAGACCCCATTACACAATTTGAAGATAAGCTTCCTGAACATTCAAAGCAAGACTGACTGAAAACAATGGGAAAGCGGCTTGCGTTGAGCGACGTAATGATGTGTAAATCTTTTCACATCGCATTCTATATCTCAACAAGTGGGGCAGTGATTCATGTGCGATGTTATGCCTAGACATTTTCTCTGAGAACATCACTGTGGCTCTGTTTTTCCAGCATTGCTCAGTCTTAACTGTAGGGTTTTGTTTTTTTGCTTTAAACATGTTCACATGGGGATTATTTTGATCTATGAAGGTTTTCTGACAGAACAGTGTTACTGATATGTCCCATAGGTGTTACCGTACTGGGGAAATCCTCACGATCGGAAAGTGATTCGGAAATTTTGGAGCCAGGTAAACATTGAAGGATACATCACCGTACATTTTGCAGCCAGTAAACTCAGCACTTTTTATCCTTTTAACTCTTAACGCTGTGTTTTGTCACACAGAAAACCCTTTACACGCAAAATGCACCATTCCACGTGGTCATCACGAGCTACCAGCTGGTGGTCCAAGATGTCAAGTACTTTCAGAGGGTCAAGTGGCAGTACATGGTTCTAGATGAAGCCCAGGCACTGAAAAGCAGCACAAGGTAAAGCGTTATCATGGTGGCATTGATATTTGTGATCACAGGGTCACAGATTCATGTGTTGATGCGTGATATCTGATTGATCAGACTTTGTATTTAAAGATTTTATCTTACCCTTCTTTGGCAACTCAATAACTAGCCTGAGCATACAAACATTATTAAGATGTTTTAAATGCAGACCGGCCTTTTAACAACTTTACTAACCAATTATAATGTCATTCTGGCCAAAACACAAGTGTTGTAAAATAAATGACTCTTTTCTAGTCCCAGCAGTTCTAACTTGCACAGAATGCTGTGGCCATTTGTAAGTTTTCTTGTTTTTTTGTCAGAACAAATAAAGCCCTGCGTGCTTTGGATAAGTGTCTTGAGAAATGCAAGTGAAAAAAGTTTGTAATAAATCAGCTAAAATATGCAGAACAAGGGAAACTGTTCTTTAAATCATTTGGTAAATCAACAAAAATGTCTGGAAAAATACAGTAACCGGTCTCTACGGTTTCACTAGTGTGTGTCATTTCTCGGCTCCTACTGGAGACCAGCCAAAATCAATAGACTGGCCAAACGTACAGCCACACACAAGCGGTAATCCCAAAAAATGTAGTACATCCAGTGATTACATTAAGTGAAGTGTTAAATGCAGATGATAAACATCTGTAGCTGTCACAGCAGGTGACGGTCCTGGTTTCTGTGCTTTTTCAGCGTTCGGTGGAAAATCCTCCTGCAGTTCCAGTGTCGGAACAGACTTCTGCTAACCGGGACGCCCATTCAGAACACAATGGCTGAGGTGAGCGACGTCTGTGTGTGTGTGTGTGTGTGTGTGTGTGTGTGTGTGTGTGTGTGTGTGTGTGGTCATCCGGGCAGAACTGTAAGAGACTGCATGTTTTCCTCTCAGCTGTGGGCCCTGCTGCATTTCATCATGCCTACGTTGTTCGATTCCCATGAAGAGTTTAACGAGTGGTTCTCCAAGGACATAGAGAGCCATGCTGAAAACAAGTCTGCCATCGATGAGAGTGAGTACAGCAAAGGCTACTATTTTTTCCCCCTATTTTATATGTATGCTTTTTAGCTTATTTGAAAATAGGTGTACCAACACTGTTCTTCTATCCTGGCTCTATTTGCATGTGATATGATTTGTAAGTAAACATAATTTTTTTGTTGTTGTTTTTCAGACCAACTGTCCAGATTGCATATGATCCTGAAGCCTTTTATGCTGCGCAGAATCAAGAAGGATGTGGAAAATGAACTCTCAGACAAGGTAGAAGAACCAAGAGTGTATTAACAATTAAGGCTGACACGACAATCTCATTTTTCAGTTTTCCTAAGGGCAAAAAAAGATGGGTTTCTTCCCCCCCAAGTGGTATCCTTTGTGTTATGCCACATTCCCTCTCCATATTTTAATCCCTATACTCTGCTAAGATAGTATAAGAAATATTTGATTTACAGTGGTCCCTCCTTTATCGCAGTAGTTACGTTCTAAAACTAACCCACGATAGGTGAAATCCGTGAACATTATTTTTTACAATTATTATTAAGGCTATAAAACCCCTCACTACACACTTTATACACTTTTCTCAGACAGGCGTGAACAATTTCCCACAATCTGTCTTGTTTAAACACTCTCAAAGCTCAAACCTTCGTAGAAAAATAAGTCCAGAAGTATAGAATCAAACCAAAGGCACCTGCAGGTGCCTTTGACAGTCCAAAATGTTTCGTCGACATTGTTGTTTGTTGGGGAGAAAAGTTACAAACATACAGTACAGCACTCAGAGTCACGTTGCTAGCGATCGAAGATTTATGTAAATTTGACAAGCTGAACGCATTCTGTACCGGACAGGAGACACGGCACAGAGATGATTGATTGAAAATGGTCTACAGCCGATCAGGATGCAGAACACAATGCTCTGTTTAAAAAAAAAAAAAAATAGAATAGAAAATATGTCCAAAAAAGAAGTGAGGATCTCAATAAATGAAATCTAATATGATGCAATAAAAGAGCTTAAAGCTAGAATAAATGCAGGTGTTGTGGTATTATGCTTGTCACCTCTCCTGGTTAAACATGGAGCCTTCCTCCATCTGTCTCTCTGTACACCTCATTGACAGAGAAAGTATTGTAATGAAGGTATGAGTGATGCTTGTGCTGGCAGATCCTCCTGACAGATGTTGGACCCGAGGTCACACACACACACGCAGTCGCTCATGCTCTGTGGGAGTCTCGAGGAATGGCCGAGTTCACCACTCCCCCACATCTGTCTTTTTCACTTTCCTTTGCACCCACATGTAGTCCTGCCAGCCCACTTCCCTCACTTCTTCGCTCTCCGCTGGTTCCTCTTTGTTTTGTCAGACCACTGAAAGCCAATACTAACCAGGAAAGTTCACTGGTGGTTCACGGTATGGTTTTATGGATTGTTACCGTTGGGTTTCACGGCTTTAATCAAAGCGTGGCACAAGATAAAACCAGAGATTTGAATGTTTGTTTAAAGACTGTTGGGCGAATGGCATGAAGTCCATACTCGCATAACAGTTTGGGCTAAGCTCACAGGAAAACACTGTGTGTGTTCTAATGGGATAGTAATGCTGACTCAGAAAAATCAAAACCATTTTGTTCGGCTGACCAAAGGGGCGGGGACAATGTAAAGTTAATTTGAACTACACATGATGAAGCCTCCTTCGTTGAGAACAATGATTCTGCAGCACAGTTTTAATAAGGCATTATTCTGCATGTATGTTATGTGACTTATATTTCTTTTTTTTTTAATGTTTGAACTCTCCTTACCTTCTTCAGATTGAGATCCTGACCTACTGTCAGCTGACCTCCCGGCAAAGGTTGCTCTACCAGGCTCTGAGAAACAAGATCTCTATCGAGGATCTGCTGCAGTCCTCGATGGGCACGGCCCAGCAGGCTCACAGCACCACCTCCTCCCTCATGAATCTGGTCATGCAGTTTAGAAAGGTATGAGCTCTGATGCATATTTTATTGTCTTTATGGTATTCAATGCTAAAAATGTATGAAAACTAGAAGGGCGCTTGAAGAGACCTATACGCTCAGCAAATAACTAGATATTCAAGAACAATAAATAAGACTATGGCTACGCATATGTTTGGGTGTTTGAACAATAAATTGGTTACATCGCACAGCACATAACAATACGAACGAATTGCCAATCACAAAGTCATTGTGCAATGAGCAGACCCTAGGTAATCTTCTTTTCTGTCCGATATGACCAAAATATACAAAATGGACCAAATCTTTTATTTAGTATGACCTAAATTGCATAATTCATAGAGAAAGGGGGCCATTTTCACATAGATGCCATCACAAATTGTTCTTTAGGGGCCCTTTAAAAGCCTTGGACCCTAAGCAGTTCCCTGGCGTATGTGCTTGTGACAGGATTGTTAAAGTAATTGTGAAATCAGCACCGTAATGCTGCTCCAGCTGCTGAAAATTGGCCTGTTACTTTTTGGCACTAAAACAGACAAGCACTGATGTAAACATAACCTATTTAGTTATTATTAAGGTATAGTGGGTTTAAAAAATAAATTATATTAATTCTCATATTTTGGTTGGCTGTGGCTCAGGAGGTAGAGCAGGTCATCTGCTAATCAGAAGGTGGCTGGCTGCTCCAACCTGCATGCCAAAGTGTCCTTGTGCAAAATACTGAACTGCTGATGCGTTCTGCAGAGTGTGAATGTGTGACTATTGGGTAGGAAGCTCTTAAACGTGTGTTTGTGTGAAATTGGTGAAAAAGATATGTTGTATAAAACAGTTTAATTGCTCAAGTAGAGTAGAAGTGCTTTATAAGAACCAGTCCATTTACCGTTTGTTGAGAATGTTAGTCTGATCCGAACAATGACTTGGCTGCACAAAACAAACATGCTGATTCCTGAACTCCAACTGTGCGTATGTTTGTGCGTAGCTCTGCAACCACCCTGACTTGTTTGAGCGTCAGGAGACCCGCTCACCTTTCCACATGTCCCTCAAGCCCTACGTCATGTGCAAGTTCCTCTACCGTCATGGCCTCATTCACACGGACAATCAGACCAGGAAAAAGTGAGTTCTTACACACAGAGACATTCACAGGATCACGTAATCTTCACTAATATTCACTTAATCCAATAATAGACGGTCTGTCAGAGTTTCTGTTAACAGTGTTTTAGGGTTACGTTTACATTTGAAATTACTGTGTAAACACTTTGAAAACTGTCTGGTCTTTTTTCTTCAACAAATATTCAGCCTTGTGGACATAAGCTGACTTTGGGGCTCACAAGTGGTTATTATCCCAATTATAGATAGGAAAATAAGAATTTGTGTGGGTTGGACTGAGATCAGATGATCATGTCAAATTTAGGTTCAGGTCTGCTATCCCTCCTTTTTTTTTAAACTTTGGTGTAACCTGGTCTTTCTCTCCATGTCGTCCTCAGATTACTTCAAGTGCTGCTGTCTCCCTTCTCCCCGAATCACATACAGCAGTCTCTCTTTCACAGGAAAGGTGAGCACACGTCAAGCTCTCAGCTAGAATACAGACAGTTCTTGCTCAAACCAGGAGTTGGTTTTCTCCTGTGACGTGACCTGACATCCAAACCTCAGTTTCTGTCTTCTTAATTTGATGTTTCCATTAGGGATGCACTGATAATAAAATGATACTTATGATGGCAGTGGCTGATGATAACCTGTTGTCACACCAGTTTGGTGTTGGCTACATGTTCAGTCAGTGTGGTGAAGACCTGAAACACAGTTCAGCTATTTTTAATCAGAAATATTGTCAGAAAAACGGGCACAGGGGACATTTTAAAGACCTGTGTTTGCCTCCATCAATCAAAAGTGGTTAATCCGTGACTTCCATTAATCCATGCTTAACATTTTCTCCTTTTTTGATTTCTTTAGTGTCATGTTTCAAATATTTTAATTTTTTTTTTATTTGCCATTTTCAGGTGATGACAAAGGAAGCTGTTTCTCCTTCTTGCGTTTCATTGACGTGTCACCAGCTGAATTGTCCAATCTTATCCTCCAAGGCACCTTAGTAAGGTAGGCATCAAATAGGCTTTAGACTGCTCTAAATGCTCTGTTTCAGACGGATATTTTTACTCTTAGCTAAGTAAGATGTCAGTGAGAGTGGATATATATGACCTTATGTGACCTTATATGGTCATCTTAAGCACAGCCCCATCCTCCTGCTGTTAAATCCTTTTGTTTGTGAAGATTTGGGAAGTAAGTTGGCTTAAACAGTGGGTTGCCTTAAAGCCAAAGGGGTAAGCAAAATTACTGTAGTCCAATTTTAAACATTGAAAAGTTGTAAATCCACCTTAATTGAGGCTGAGCTTATGTATCACTTAAACCCATTTCTACAGTTTTTTTTTCCCATTTGTAACTTGAGTCTTCATTTCCTGCCTTTACAGGTGGTTAGCCCTTTTTCTGTCTCTGAAAGCTGCATACCGGCTCCATCATCAGCGCCTGTTCGACCTTGAAGAACAGGGCCAGGAGGAAGCCGGAGACGGGGAGGCTTGCAGAGGAAAGTTACAGCCAGGGATTAAGTGTCTGTCTCGCAAGGACCTGATTCTGTGGCTGAACCGACCCATTTCCTTCCCCAACATGCACAACAGTCCTGTTTTGCAGGTAAGAAACATCAAGGTGCATGCGTGCTGATGGCAAGCTATACGCAAGAAATTCCTGAGTAGCCATCTGCAGTACACATTAATGTGTGGCAGAAATGAGAAACGCCAGTAAAGGATTCATGTCCTGCTGACAGTGCTGAAATTCTCTCCAGAGCATCAGCCGGTGTTTGGCCACACATCATGCTCTCTGCCCCAAGCTTCCTCTCCCTCCACAGGGACGCAATGTGGAACCTAATCCCTTTGTAGCCCTGTGACCCATTAATGTCGATTTCCCTCCTGGTATATGTTTCTACGACCTCGCAGCACACCAGCTAGCTTCACTCTTACATCAGATGTGTACAGGAAATCTCCTCAAATCATTAAACACCATTTCAAAAATATATATACAAAGTCTTGTATTAATAATTAAAACATATTGATCTGCTTTTAGTACAGACTTTTAGCTGGTTGTGAGGTCTGTCTGTGTGGATTAGTACACATGACCAGTGTGTTGCTGGTGTTTTATGACAAAATATTATTAGTGATGTGTAATGTTCGTCAGTAAAGATGATAAATGTAATGCATACAGCAAAGCCTTTTCTATACATGCAAATAGTTTCATGGGTACTGCTGAGACAGCACATTATTGCTTTGACTTTTTTTTTTCTTTGTATTATTTGGCAATACGGAAATCTTATTGTTAGTACAGAAGTGGTGCAATGCCAGTTCAAATACAAAGAATAGTAAAAAAAAAATATAATAATAAAAGCTCTACACTGTCGCTGCTTAAAATTCCTGCTCCTTCACTTATCTGCTTAACTGAAAAGCCTAAAAAAAATCATCAAGATTTCACTCAGCAAACTTCTAGCCATTGGCAGATACTTTCTGTATCACATTTCCACCCTTCCACCAATTCTAGCTTAACTTGTTGGGTGGAAAATACTCAGGAGTAAATGCTGCCGGGGGTAATTCCATCCTCCTCTTCCTTTCCCGGCCTCATCATGCTGGGTTAGGCAGCTGTCTAGCATCTTAGGTTCCCCCCTGGAGCTTCTCAACATATGAGAATAAGAATATTAGATGCAACTTCAAATATGAGCAAGGAATAGAAACTCGCAGACACCTGGAGAGTTTTTACTGTATGTGTGCTTTATGACCACGCTGACCCCAAACTCCTACTTGTAGAAATGACTCACTCCCGCAGTTCTTGCCAACTTCTTTTAACTCCTCATTTTTCTTTTAAAACTGCATGGAGCTGGCACACAGTGGCACTTCTTTCTGCTTGGCTCATCTCTCTCTGGCTGTGTACTTGACAGCGTGGCCAGTATTGCTTTCAGCTTTCCTTTTGCTTCTATCAAGGAATTGAGAAAACCGAGAGAACCAAGACGCGCACTATTATACCCAGAAAGCTGTGGGGGAGCTTTGGATTGGCTGTCTGTCCCTCTGTTTCACTCTCACTCCATCTCTGTTCCATCTCAGTGCTGAAACAGTCGTAATATACAAACAGCATGTTGTCTTTCTCTTAATGTCATCCATATCTACCATATGAAACTCTGCTTTTGTTTGTATCTGACATCATAATTATGTTTCACAACCATAAAGATGTGCTGATATGATTTTTGCATATTGTCAGCACATTTTTAAACTGTATTTTTTTTTTGTCTTAACTGCAATGTGCTAACAATCGTAACATCCTCCTGTATGTTCAAAGAGGATGAAGCTTTCAGTGCTCAATGTGAAAATAATCTGTTCTTGCTGGGTTTGAAAAACTAACATCTTCCTTGGTGCATTGCTTTTGTGAAACACACAAAGCATTATGTCCTTCAACAAAGAAAATGAAGAAAAAATTGTAGTTGCTAAGCACTGCCTGAGTTGGTCTGACACCGATAGTTGATTTATTTATTTTTTTATCTGCCATTAGATGGCACTGTGACCAAAGCAGACATTACCATATTCCTTTAAAAACCTACCATTCTGTAATACTCTACTATACTTTGTTCCAAATGAATGTTTGTGTTTACCACAGTGTTTTATCCTGATGCCCACATGCTGTGACATGTGGAGTTTAAACCATATACAGTGGGGCAAAAAAGTATTTAGTCAGCCACCGATTGTGCAAGTTCCCCCACTTAAAATGATGACAGAGGTCAGTAATTTGCACCAGAGGTA